CCACCGTACGTTGAAAATATGATCTAATAACTTTCTACTGATGACGTAACAACTACGTCTGTATATCACGATGACGCGCCCTAAAAGATATTTTATGCATTCAACAGAAAGTTCCACAAAGGAAGTTACGAGATATGCTTGGGGACCAGTCTGAACAAACACCGCACAAAATACGTCAGACAGTTTCAAAGACCTTCACCGTAAGACAGTAAGGTAAAGATGTCCTTCTGGTTCATTAATTAAACACGACGCCATGAAGACGTCTAGCCTCCCATCGCTTCGCCGGCAGAGTCACTCCGTCTTCAGACCTTAGGAAACAGTTATTACTGTAACAAAGTCTGAACAAGGTACGCAGTTGAATTCTGTAAGAACGAAGCAAACAAACAGAGGTTACTGAACCTCGTGTTTTTATAGATGCCTGCTTCTGAGCATCCCTTGCCCCAATGTTATCCGACAACAAGGCGCCACCCCACCCCTCTACCCTTCAATATTCACCACCAGAGCTATCCCTATCAGACGCCACTAGTTCTACCAAAAAGCACAGTCGCCGGCTTAAAAAAAATACTTTGGCAATCCCATAAATCTAATGGCGTTATATAGGATTCGTCTGGCTCCTGTACCCCATTCCCTGGTTCTCTACTACGTAACTTCCCTCAACCCTCTGAAGTTTCCACTGATGTATACCGGCATTTTGTTCATCTGTCGGAACCCTGTAAATCTGTGTTTACGCTCCACACAATGAAGAGTACGAGAGAGAGAGTGTGCAGTTCTACTCATCCCTAACCTCGACACTACACGAAGTCCTTTCTTTCGCTTAACTCTCAGTGATCCAAACATTTTCTTCGGGTTATTTTACTCCGCTGTCAGTACCTGGAGTACGTACTTGAATGGCAAGGCTATAAGAGGACTGCAGAGGCACAGGTAAGTAGCACAACTCCATCAAGTATAACTAATGTTCCGGTCATTAACGGCCATCATCAGAAGGCACAGGCAATATTATAAAGGAATGGCTTTATACAGTGTGGCTTGTTGCTAGGCAACAACCGCGAACGCAGCAGCTATACAACAACCGTTGCTAAGTAACGACCTCGCAATCGACACTTGCACAGAAATAATGAGGCGGTGTTTTCTGTTCGGTCAGTTCCGAGATGTTATAAGCAAAATAGTTAGTGACAGTCACGTTCCCCCCCCCCCTTGGCATTACAGCCCCAGTGGGCCTAGGCCTACCTCCATGAACTCCGTTCGCTTCGGTTTTTCTAGATCTTACACATTCGGTAGGACTCCTTGGGCGAGTGATCAGCTCGTCGCAAGGCCTCTACCTGTAGACAAACACAGAAAAACGCACACAAACATCCATGCCCTGAGTGGGATTCGAACCCACGATCTCGGCTTCTGAGCGAGCGCAGACTGTGCATGCCTTAGACCGCTCGGCTACAGTGACCGGCAGTGACAGTCAAGTATGTATATCATTATATAACAAAATTATGCAGGGGACAAGCAGAAGTCATACAAAATCGTGATAACGAAAATGTTGGCAATATTGGACAAGGTGAAGCCCGACACAGAAAGTATAAGAAGCTTAAACTTGGCGGCGGTCAAGCTTAATCTGCTGTACTGAGCCTGGACTGACAAGAGGCCTTGTGTATATTGTACATAAGAGTAGATACTAAGAGTCAATTTGTAAATAAGTGTACATACTGATAATGGACTTAATATTACCGACTATGACTGACAATTGACAGACCCCACCTCTCGTCAGTGAGGGAGCACCACAAGGACAGGACAGTAACTTTCATACAAGAAGAAACCTCATCATGAGCCCCAGCTGGGGCTCGACACCAAGACAGACAGACTCACTGACTGTTAGTCGCAAGCTGGCTCGACACCAAGACAGACAGACTCACTGACCATCAGTCGCAATGTGACTTTGAGTGACAGTCAGTTGAGCTGAGTTAGTTGGTTGGCGAGTGACTGAGTTAGAGAACTGTAGGGGTACAGTCGATGTGAGCTGTTGTTAGAAACTGGCGACTGAGGCCAGAGATAGTTTGAGAATACACAGCAAGAAGTACATCCACGGTTGGAAGCCACTACCGAGCAACATGACTGTAGACACTAGGGTGAGTGCATATGTGTAGTAGTACTTAATTGTACAGTATGGACACATGCTGTATCAAAGATTCCAATAATTCCGATCATCAATCCAAACCCCGTCTATAGTCACTCATACACATGGAAACATGTTGCTGCTGAGCATGTGTTCTTTCTTACAAGGTCTGGAAATAAAGTTCCTTGACTGTTGTGAAGAAACAAATACAAATGTAAAGAAATAAAAAATTATATTATTTCTGCTCAAAGTAATCTCTGGCTACTTGAATATATTTGTTGAATTGTTTAATAAGTTTTTGAAAACAGTCAGCAAAGGCAAAGGATAAAACATAAAGTTGTCCTCATTTAATTAAACACATACAGGAGGGAGCAGAGGTAATAGCTACACTTGCTGTTACATGCAATCAACAGTCACAGCCCAGTCACTTTGTCCCCGCAGAAAGACTTCCCAACACCCACTGAATACAAAACTGGGTGAACCCGAGTCAATCTAGACACTGCGGGAAAGAAAGAAAAATCTCTTAATACTGCTAGGGCCATAAATAAATTCAAACAAGAAAGTGTTCAAAACAGATGTTTATGAAACTGAAGATTATTTCTTATCATTCATTTACCCCACTTACCAGGTAACACAATGAATCTATTCCATATTTCTAACACTTTCTACATGCAGGCTAACACAACAGAACTTACATTAAGCAAGTACAATGCAGAATTCTGACCCAAAGATTAAATGGAGTTTTATCTCCAGGCAAAATTCTGCAATACAGTTAACTTTAATATCAACCATAACTGCTTTCTCCCAAATTCTTCCCAAGACATATTTCTTAATTATGCTAACAAAATTCATCCAACAGTATGTAACATTAATAGTTCATATATCATAAGGTAATGTGATTGGTCAACATCAATTTGAAGCTTATCAATGGAAGATATTTACATGACAAACCACTCCCACAAACACATCATAGATGTCACTGGAAAAGAAAGCACTATTTTCACATTAATGTGAGCACAAAGATTTCATAAAAATTAATTTATGACCTTATGTACAGCAGGCTTTGTTAATTACTCAGTACAGTTTAAAAACCAAAACATATAGCAAACATCCCTTATTAAAAAAAACTCCTTGGTTTTAGTCCACAAGCGAACTATACAGACAGAGCGACCGCCACTTGTCGGCGAAGTTAATGCCAACTTTAGCGCATAGAGGGTGTCCCATGGTCAGCACAACGAATTCCCATGGCAGTTAATTTCGGTTTTCTAGGCTGGAGTTGCTACTTCCTTGAAATAGCTCCTCAGTTATCCTCATGAGGCTGAGTGGACCCCGTTCCAGACCCCACTACTTCTCAGAAAATCTGGTAGTGCCGGGAATCGAATCCGGACCTCTGGATCTGTAGGCAGGAACTCTGACCACTAGACCACACAGGTGGTTAGCAAACATCCCTTATACAGAATTAAAATAAAAATTAACAATAATTTATGACACATGGAAAAGCTTAGGCATCATATAAATTGGGCACTCCTCAAGAGGCTGAGTGGACCCCGTTCCAGACCCACTACTTCTCAGAAAATCTGGTAGTGCCGGGAATCGGATCCAGACCTCTGGATCTGTAGGCAGGAACTCTGACCACTAGACCACACAGGTGGTTAGCAAACATCCCTTATACAGAATTAAAATAAAAATTAACAATAATTTATGACACATGGAAAAGCTTAGGCATCATATAAATTGGGCACTCCTCAAGAGGCTGAGTGGACCCCGTTCCAGACCCACTACTTCTCAGAAAATCTGGTAGTGCCGGGAATCGGATCCAGACCTCTGGATCTGTAGGCAGGAACTCTGACCACTAGACCACACAGGTGGTTAGCAAACATCCCTTATACAGAATTAAAATAAAAATTAACAATAATTTATGACACATGGAAAAGCTTAGGCATCATATAAATTGGGCACTCCTCAAGAGGCTGAGTGGACCCCGTTCCAGACCCACTACTTCTCAGAAAATCTGGTAGTGCCGGGAATCGGATCCAGACCTCTGGATCTGTAGGCAGGAACTCTGACCACTAGACCACACAGGTGGTTAGCAAACATCCCTTATACAGAATTAAAATAAAAATTAACAATAATTTATGACACATGGAAAAGCTTAGGCATCATATAAATTGGGCACTCCTCAAGAGGCTGAGTGGACCCCGTTCCAGACCCACTACTTCTCAGAAAATCTGGTAGTGCCGGGAATCGGATCCAGACCTCTGGATCTGTAGGCAGGAACTCTGACCACTATACCACAGAGGTGGTTAGCAAACATCCCTTATACAGAATTAAAATAAAAATTAACAATAATTTATGACACATGGAAAAGCTTAGGAATCATTATAAATTGGGCACTGTAATCGTCCAATATGGCTGCAAATTAAAGTAAGCACACAATAGTACATTCTCTCTCATCAGATGTCACCAAATTTTAATTGTTTATGAAATAAATGAGTGTGTTCCTTAATTACACTATATGCAGTAAGCTTTACTATCAAAATGGCTAAAATCTTCACTGCCTATCAACATTCTATATAATTCTCTAAGTCTAGTGGTTTGGGGGCTGCTACTATGTCACAGATGGACAGACATGATCACCACATGACGTTTTTATCTACTTTGCACAAAATTCCAAGCATGTACAATATGGGGTATTCATAGTGACAAAAATCAGAATGAAATACTTCAAACAGAAATGTGGTTAAGAAATGGTTTTTACTGAGAAGAGCAGAAAATAATAGAGCTTATAAACTTTAATTCATGTTCTTACCAATAGTAGCAGTTAACTTCACACTATCACAAGGAAATACTAACACTATGCTTACGGATATCTAGGTTTTATTATAAAGAACAGGTATTAATGGATTTTAAGTTTTTATTGTAACATATACAAAAAACTTGCACACAATGTTCATACAATGAGGCCAGTACCCATTATCATTACAAATACAACTACCACCAATGCAGAACTATTAAAAAATTCACCATCCGTTATATACAGTGCAGTTTCAGTTGGTGAAAAATTGCCTGAAGATGGCCTTGTAAGGATGAAACATGTTGCAATTAAATGCGATTTTAAGGGAATTTTAAAATAAAGGAGCGACTGTAAACAGTCTTAGGTTGCATTAGGAGCGGGAATAGCGTAGTGGGTATACTGACTGGCTGTAGCTACTGCACGTATGTAAGAAAACAAAGGTCCATACAAGACTTAATTATGAATATAAACATATATTACATTACAATATTGGAGATCTTAGACTAACAACTACATCAGACATCAGGTACATTTTCAGTAACAATGTCCTATATTCCCTACTGATGGGGATCCCACCGTACTGTGGTGGTGGAGTTTGAGTGATCCTGAGAGCTATGCTGACAGTAGTGTAGCTACTGGTAGTCACCCATGCCAGACAGGTCAAGGGGTTGGAGCCAGATGAAGAGGAACACCCCAGTCCTCCAGGTTGGGTGTTGGGCATGAGGCTAACAACCTCACACTGTAAAAATTAAATTGTTCAGAAATCAGATGATCGGCCTCGCATAGATGTAGAGAAGAATGGAGGCAGATTGTTCATGAGTCCAAAGCTCACCCTGACCTGTAGCGCCGAGGGGAAGGAAGGAAATGTTTTATATTTTGTAGCAGAATCCCCATTTAATGTTCCTCAATTTAATGTTAAAATTCAATGAACCCAAGTCAGTATCTATCAAACGTCCTATATTTTAAAGATATGTTTTCATGGTGGTTAAAATCTACACTGCAATCTGCAAAGAAAGAGCAGCGTCTTTCTAAATATCCATAACCATTCTTGAGACTGTACAATGGCATAACCCAGGAAATCACCATCTGAATCCATATTTTTAAGATTTCCCTTTGGTTAGTCTTGAAGTCCACTGTTTGCTAAACCAACCTAAAACACAGATATCACCACATGAAACAAATAAACCATTTTTATAAAAATATCAGTGAAGACATCCCCGTACGACCACACCACAAATACAAATGGGAGACTGCAGGTACAGTCCACTTGTTCTTATGCTCATAACTGGATGGAGATGATGTCAGCTTCCACCAGGGAAAAACCCTTTAGTATCCGTTGGATATATAAAGGCAGACACATTACTCTCCATAAATATATTTTTTCACTGTTTCTTATAACTCCTTAATATGGGATAAATGTTGTCAAGAGCTTCCTGCAAGTCTTCTCGCGTTCTTGCTCCTAAAACCAGAAAACACATAAGAATTAAATTAATGGACTTGCCTTATAAGTGTGAAAACCTTAGCAGCTTACTCCCCTAACCACTGCATACACCCAATCCCATAGTAACACACTAGACGCATCTGGACAAATTTCAGGTAAGGTAAACTTGTGTAAGCACAAATTTCCTATTAGGAAAAATGTAACTTAATGGAAAAGTCACGATGAAATCACAAGAACCCCTCCTCCCCCAAAGAAGCAGCCAATTTAGTAAACACCAGCCCTACTTTAAAAACTGTGTTAAACTTAACTTATGACACTTGGCAATTTGTGTGCAGGCTTATTTTAAACTACAACCAACCAGTATATGATAAGTGAGCGATTGAACTGTTTGTCCCACGTAACTATAATGTATTTAATAATATTATATTTCATCATCCTCTTGCGTTGATGTTATCACTCGTTCACACATTTCCATCTCTTAATGCAACCCAACACCATTCACAATTTCTCCTTTATTTTAAAATGCCCTTAAAATCACATTTAATTGCAACATTCTTCAGCCTCACAAGGCCATCTTCAGGCAAACTGTTCACCAACTGAAACTGCCACACTGCACCAATTCATATGAATACAAGAGAGAGGCTGCTGACTAGTGAGAATTATGCACAGAGGGCGCAGAACATGAATGCCACAAAACGAAAATAACGCTGAGTGAGAAGTGTGTGTTCATTCTCAGACAAACACATTTTAGTGCGAACGACAATATGGAATAGCATGGGGTGCATTAACATACGAACCAGTGCAGTGTGGCAGTTTCAACTGGTGAACGACTGCTTGAAGACAGCCTTGTAAAGCTGAAACATGTAATTAAATGTGATTTTAATGGCATTTTAAAATAAAGGAGAGACTGTGAACAGTCCTGTGTTGCATTAGAGAAGGAAGTGAGTGAATGAGTGATAAAATGTATTTTTTATGAAGATGAGTTTCCTCCCACCAGATTGTAGCACAGATCAATTCTGCATACCCGAAGTCAGTTACAGAGCTCTTAAGGCTAGAAGAAAAAAGATTTGTGCAAGGCGTCTGTTACTTCATAAACAAAATTCCTAATGTCATTTAAAAAAATAAATATATGCACAAAATATTAAAAGTGTATTCATAGTAACAGTAATATTAACAGAGTTAAGAGAGATGTTCAAAAATCGCGGGATGACCGCTATGATAGAATAAGATGTTTATAAGAATGTGCTACAGAGTCCCAGAAGGGCAGCCTGGGCCATTTTTGTATATACTTGAATCTTTTAAATAAAAAAATATATATATTTTTTAATGACTTTATGCATCTCTTATGCGCTACAGAAGGAATCTCCTGGTCACATCCCTGAAATAACAATCTTTAATGTTTTGTTCTAATAGATCTGGCTCAGGATAGGGACCAGCAGAGGGCTCTTGTGAACACGGTGATGAATCTTCGGGTTCCATAAAATGCTGGGAAATTCTTGGGTAGCTGCAGAATTGGCGGCTCCTCAAGAAGGGCTCAGCTCCATCAGTCAGTCAGTCGGTCGGTCAGTGAATGAGTGAGTAAGTAAGTAATGCCTTGTGCTAATTTCCATTAACTTCTATCCATTCAAAGGTAGTACAGATTCCTATCTACTTATTCTCCAATATCCTTGCAGTACAATAAGAAAAACAGCTAAAAATCTAACAACTATAGCTACTAATCGTGTAATATTTTCTTACCTGTCATAACCAACTTGCCATTCACAAATATAAGTAGCACTACTCTTGGTTTCACCATACGGTAAATTAGACCAGGAAAAAGTTCAGGCTCATAGCTGTAAAGAAACATACACTTAATTATTTTTTTTTAATTCGCATAGTGGGGGGTGGAGTCCAGTTGGGTCCACTCGGGACGGCGGCCGCTGATGGCCTATTGTACCTGTCCCAGGGGATTATGATGATGGAGAATTTGGCTGAATGAAGACTGGCAGGGGAAACAAAAGTACTAGGAGGAAACCTACCCCAGTGCCACTTTGTCCACCACAAATCCCACTTGACCAGGTCCGGGATCAAACCTGGGCTGCCGCGGTGGGAAGCCAGTGACTAACCTCTTCAGCTATGACGCGGCCCTTAAAGACACACTTCAATATTTCATTCAATCCTCAGCCACACCATTCATGGCTGACATTTTAGACATTATTCAGCACAAGCTTTTTTTTTTTCAACCCACAGTGCTTCAAGAATCCAGTTGTTTCCTTCTTTGGGGAACATGATAAACTAAGTTATTCATCAAGTTGATTTGTTTAGTGCTAACAGTCTGGATCTGCATCTGATAGGGGCTGAGTTTGAATCTCAGCTCAGACAGTGAGTACCTCGAGTGAAAAATTTGTTTGTGGTCTTCCCGTCCCTCAAGCAAAATGCTTCGATAGTAGCTTGAATAGGTTGCAAGTGCTTTAATCCAAATCCTTTCCAATTATCCTATCATTCAATGCCATATATTCTAGGATACTCACAAAAAAAAAAACCGCCCACCCCCCAAAAAACAGGCCAATAAATCATACCTACCCTTGTCTAAGTCTTGAGACTCTCTCTCTCTCAAGCCAATAGGACTCCTTACTTTACCATTACCTGACAAATGACACAGAACCACATTAAATTTGAGCTTCTCATAGTAGTGAGTATAAACAGTACTGAGAAGCTGTAATGATGTGGCTTCTTCTGGCTACTTGCCCAGCTTACTCTTTTACCCAGAAGAAGGAAGCACTATATCCCTTTGAAACGTTGGTGAACTTATACTGAGCTATTGTTACATCCCATCTTCAAAACAGTGCCTATATCCAAAACACTGTGGTCTGAAAAACTGAGACAATGGACAATGCCCAAATTATTAATAAAAAAAATATCAGAAACCTTCAGACTTACCTCTGTCACACCATTTTAAATATTCAGGATAGGGACCAGTGGCAGGCTGTTGTGAACATGATAAAGAAACTTTGGTTCCATAGAAGTCTGTAAATTTTAAGTACCTGAGTGACTATTATTACCTGCTCAAGAAAACTACAGTTCATGTAGTTTACTTAAGTCACTGATGTTATAAGGCTAGTTAATGACCTCAATATATTATAGTTAATTTATACAACCACTCTACATTTCAGTAGGTTAAGCATAGCAAAGATTTAAAAGATACATATCTAAAGCAAATAGAAACACTTACATCAAGCAAAAGAAATATCTTTAGCAGTCAGCATAAATACTACCAGGAGACTATGTTACTTTAAAAGATATGAATTAACTTTTAACTATTTAATCCTATTTATTAATTTAATCTTGGTTTACTTGACAACACTTCCAACTGGTAAGGTTATTTGGCATTAGAAAGTAGGATTAAAGTGTAATAAACTGGAGATTATGTGGATGGAAGTGGTTGTATAATTATTGAAGCAGTCACTAGGTCAGTATAGTTTGCTTGTGGACTAAAAGCCACTGAGTTTATTACACTAGTATTCCCTTAGAACGAAAAAGTATAACTTTGTATAGGCGGCATTTGTGTAACTATACAAAACTTCAGTCATGGTTGTCACTCTCAGGACTGAGATTTCAACCCATAGCCTTGTAAATACCAAGCAGATGTACTAACCAGTCGAACACAACATTCATTCTATAGATTACAAATTGCTTTCCTGAGATACTTTACAGCCAAAAATAACTTCTTGAAACCATACTATATGATGACAATCAAGGTTTCATTACTTCTGCTCTTTCGATGCAAAAAGACAGCCTCCTCTATAAACACGATAAACTACTACATGGCAAAGTTGATAAAGCCAACCTTGTGCTTAATTAATTATGTCATGAAGACATATGGGGGAGTGGAAGTACAGGTCCACCACTCTTGACCTTGGCACCAGAGGGAGGTAAGTGATCAGCTTCAGGTCCTCCTCCTTTTGCCCCTTAGGAAACTGCACCCGATATCCACTGGATAAGAGGCTGGGTGGCTTCCAGGGCCAGAATGGATACCATGGAGAAGAGAAACATCTTGCTCCTGCAAGGTATCAAATCCTGGCCATTCACATACCCTGGCGCCGACAATGGAATAAGTGCTTGATTATGACATGATTTCTCAAGAGCAGCTGCAAAATTCTATGTTTCGGTGAGAAATTAATACTTCTGTGCAACTGGTTTTCTGTTCAAGTCCTGCTTTAACACCCAAAGCCTGGATTTATATAACGCAGCACTGTGATATGAACCGTACGTTGTAACATAACAGAGCTGAAGCATGTTAACATTGTAAGCACAGATGTAAATCACTATTCCAAACAAAAGAATCTGATTCAAGTGACACCCAGTTAGTGAGGCATCAACAAATAATGAACTCCTTGCTCACAGCCAAAAAACTGCCCATCTTTCAGGCAATCCTACAGTTCATTACTGTTTGCAAGAGCCCACAAACCAGCCCTATCCTAAGAGAAATTAATAAAATCAACATATGCACACCATATCTTTATGATCGATATTATACTCCCCAACTACACTTCCATTTTCCTAATGGTTCCTTACCCCTCAGTTTTCTGATCAAAATTTTATATGCATTTCCCATCTCTCCCATGCATAAGTCACCTTACTCATCCTAGTTTATCTAAGCATCACTAATGAAATTATAATCAGCAGAGCTCAAATTTCTAAGCTCTTAATTATGTAATTTTCTCCAGCCTCCTGTTACTGCGATAAAATCTTCTCAGGCTATCAGTTATGTCAGCTGGTTAAAAATCACTAACATTTCAGAGACCGCCTCTGTCACCATCAGGTGTGAAATGGTCCCTGTAATCTCAGTAACTTTTAACTAACTGACATAGATCATATCTCGAGAAGTTATTGATTTTAGCCACCCTGAAACCTTCTTATCTACTGTTACATTCTTAGGGATAAATATTCTCCTCGGCATCTTGTTTTCAATCCCTCTTGCACTCACCTCATTTATATCATGTACTATGGCCCTGGGGTTGACTCAGCCTCTAACAGAAATGAGTACCAGGAATCATCCTAGTGGTAAAGGATGGTGGGCGTGTAAGGCTGACTACCTCAGGACCATCTGAGAGCCCAATGTCTTTAAAATGTTGAAGCCTCGACGTCTCACAACCCTACGGGCCTCCACAGCCTGTTATATGGATAGTTTTACCCTTTTACTTCCCTAGGAGTCTCTTCTCTTTATGATATAGGCAGTAAACAATGTCACTCAATACCAATCATACCCCTTCATACATGTGTTGCTGCTTTCTGAAGGCTCCGAAAGCATCTATAAAAACTGATCTAGTTTTCCAACCACACACCTGCTGAATTGTCCATGTACTTGGTTGAGGCCTTCCACTCGTATAGGAAACCTCACGTCACATGTTCCAACAATGTTCTGAATTTTAAAATCCAAAAACTGTACCTGGAAAGGAATATTTAAAGCATTAAAGAATGATATAACACCCAACATGCTTCTCCAAAATGAAATATTTGTACACTAATTGCTTCAGTATAATCCTGAATATATAACTATACATCCTTTCATATGTTACTACATAAGGTTGAACCAAGCAGTAGCAAAGTTGGCCGAGGCACAATGCTTCAAGCCAGAAGGTCATGGTCTTGATTCCAGATGAGGTCATTGGATTTTTCAATTGACCTAATCCTTCCAGCCGCACTATGGCCCTGGGGTAGACTCGGCCTCTAACAGAAATGAGTACCAGGAATCTTCCTGAGGGGTAAAAGGCTGCTAGCTGGCACATAAAGCTGACCTCACCAACACCAGTGAGCCAGCTGTTTAGAAAGCTAACACTATCTGTCTAACAGGCTGTAGAAGTCCATAGGGTTGAGAGACATTGAGGCTCACAAATTTTCTAGACAATCAGCTCAGAGATGGCGGTAAGGTTGTCAGCTTTAAGTGCCAGCCGCCCTTTACCCCCAGGAATATTCTGGTACTCATTTCTGTTAGAGGCTGAGTTAACCCCACGTCCACAGTTCGGCTGGAAGGATTAGGTCAGTTGAAAAATTCAGTGACCTCATCGGGACTTGAACCCATGACCTTCTGGTTTGTTGCATAGTGCCTCAACCATGTTACTGGGTGCCGCAAACAGAAAATGACAGTTTCATAAATTCTGAAAATGTTTAATATCTAATATATGTTAATATCTAACTCAATGATCTTCTGTTAAAGGGTTCTAATACCTCTCTTATAAGACTGTTATGATACTTGCCGGAAATCCAAGCTTCTGTATGATGCGAGCATATTTTCGAGCTGCTAATCGGGAATCAGCTTCATTCCTGGCTCCAGTGATAACCATTTTACCTGACCTAAACAGGAGGGCAGTAGTGTGTGGTTCTCGTATCCTCATAACAATACCCGAGAACCTCGATGGGTTGTACTCCGAATTACGGGTACGAAAGTTTATCTTCATCAGATCCAACGGGCAGGCCAAGTTCACCGTTGAGACCACATTTCTGCAAAAATATAAAAAACTGTCCATGTTCAGTGTAACCCTTATCATCATAGCACAGATCATCAGGTTGCAGATGGATGTTGTCCGTGATTAATTAATTAAGCACCATGCCACAAAGATGTCTGGGGAGTGGACGTATAGATCCATTATTCTTGATTTCAGTATTAGATGGAGGTGAGTATTCACCTTCATACCTTGCTACATAAACTGCCCCCAGGGGAAAGAGCCCCTGGTACCCATTAGACAGGAGGGTGGTTGAACTCTGGCGACAGTTTGGACACCGGGGAGAAAAATCTCTTGTCCCTACAAGAAATTGCACCCGCAATACCCAGCCTACAGCATGTCACTATACCGACTGAGCAATCACAGCTCCTGCAGATGCAAATGACCGCAAGATACGGATAGCAATTTTGATTATGATGCATTAACAGTTGTGGGCAGCCAACAAGAGCTGATCCTTCAGCTTGGGGGCTCGGCAAAGAGCTAAATTCTCTCACCTTAAGAAATGTGATACACGACCTCAGACTTGATAGGCTTGTGTGAACACAGTAATGAACCCTTGGCTTTGTAAAGGCAGGGAATTTTTATTGACTAGCTGAGCAACTATCAGTTTTCCAAGGGTTCTGCTCTGTGAAGTGCAATGTGTAATGGGGGGTTCACATTGGGTCAAAATCCTAACTAGACAGGATATCTGAGGACTCATCAAGACTGCTTTCTTACTACAGATTTGCTTTTGTACACATCTTGTGTTGTTAATATTATATTTAGGTAACATAAATTTGTAGTGTAGCAATGAAATACATTAAGCTGGCATTCTGGGCTTTAGTACAGATGTCAACATGATTGAATTCCACTTCAATTATATATTTTATTACTACTTCCAACTGTAAATATCTTAAACAGTATCAAATTACTATTATTACCATTACACATAATTTCTGTAAAGCACATATTTCTCAAGTAGTGATTCTGTCTACATTAAATTTATTATATCAATCTCACTCTTGCCATCATAGCTGTATTCATGATTTTTGACTTACAAACATTATCTAATCAATAATTTATTTTCCATACCCAGTTTCAAGGGGCACGCAGTAGCATGGTTGGTTGAGGCACTTTGCTGGATCGAATCCCGATGAGCGGATTTTTTCAATTTACCTAATCCTTCCAGCCGCACTATGGCCCTGGGGTCGACTTAGCCTCCAACAGAAATGAGTACCAGGAACATTCTTGGGGGTAAAGGGCAGCCGATGTGTAAGGCTTACAACCTTACCGCCATATACGAGCCGACTGTCTAGAAAATGTGGGAACCTCAACCTCTCACAACCCTATGGGCCTCCCCAGCCTGTTACAGGGACAGCTTTACCTTTTTTTGCCCAGTTTCACATGCCTAGTGCCAATTCATTAATGACTGTCATTAAATCAAGTAATGTGAAACCTGTGAACCAAGGCATAGGTGCGTGGACAATATTAAAATGCATCTTAGAGAGATAGGATAAGATGGTATGGATTGGTTTGATGTGGCTAAGGATAGGGACCAGTGGAGAGCTCTTGTGAACATGGTAATGAACATTTGGGTTCCATAAAATGCTGGGAAATTTTCGAGTAGCTGCAGAATTGGCAGCTCCTCCAGAAGGGCTCAGCTGCATGAGTAAGTAAGTAACTGAAAGGTTAATCAAATACAAGGCTGGGATGACCTCTGTATTGATCATATTAAATTCTGCAAAAATTAGTAAAATATTTGGGGGGGGGGAAGGGAGGGGGACAATATGATGATCCCAGCCCTACTTTTTTCCTATATGAAATGAAAAACAGTTTATTCAACACATTTGTCTGATTGATGGCTTACACTATCCTATAGTTTGCATAAAAGTATGGGTAAAGTTATCCCTGGGCTTCACTTAGTTAAGTACTACACCATGACGACTAAGGGGGAGCAGAGGTACAGCTCCACCATTCTTAACCAGCAAGCTTCATTTCCCTGTCACGTTATACAGATGGTAAAACACGCCCCTGTACCCAAAGTATAGGAAGGTGGGTGGGACCCAGAGCTGACCCTACCAAAAATCAAACACCAGCTCCTCAAATGCTGAGCCCACAGCCTAACCATTATATAAACCGAGCTATCATGCCTGAAGCTCTGCAAATTACCAGTCTTTTCCGCTTATTTTTTTTTTATTGTTAAGTGGGGTGGGACTAAGTCCCTTGTACTGCGGCCACTTCTGGCCTACTGTACCAGCCCCAGATGATAGGTGAGGGTCTTTGTGGAGCAATTGGTGGAATGAAGATTGGCATGGGAAATCGAAGTACTCGGAAAAAACCTGCCCCAGTGCCACTTTGTCTACCACAAATCCCACTTGACCAGACCTGGGATAGAACCCGGGCTGCCGCGGTGGGAAGCCAGCGACTAACCACTTGAGCTATCGCTCGGCCAGTCTTTTCCACTTACTTTGCAGCTTTAGCACATTATGAGCCGACCTCCATCATTTCAACACACAGGAACCCTTAGATACTACCCAGAAAACAAAGGAAAATGAAGAAAAACCGAAACATTCTGAGCATGATTTGAACCAATGATTAAAGCAAATCATGTGGCAACTAAGATCATTACCTGCCTCTAACTGAACAGCAGTAAATATTAGATCAGAGCCATTATACTCGTATTTCACATTCTGAGCAACTAAAGGAGTTTTCTTCATCCAGTGGGTCATGGGCCATTCCTGGTTCAAGACTTAATTTACACCAGTCCACATATCTTAATCATCAAACAAAAAAAGAACTCTGTGGTCTATGGTCAGAGTTGGTGGCTACAGATCCAGAGGTCAGGATTCGATTCCTGGCGCTAATAGATTTTCTGAGAAGTAGTGGGTCTCAAAAGTTGTCCACTCAGCCTCATGATAATGGATGACCTATTTCAAGAAAATGGCAGCTACCATCTAGAAAAGCAAGATTAACAGCCGTGGGGATTCATTGCGCTGAGCACGCGACACCCTCCATCTGCTAAAGTTGGCACTAAAGTTGGTATCAAATTATATTTATTTTATCACAGATATATTAATATTTTCTAAAATGTGACTTCTGTGTCTTCTTTTCGGTATAACTAAAAACTTTCTGTTGGTCTAACTAGTTTCTTGTTCAATCTCTCTCTCCTCCCTCCTACTTTAGGACAAGTACAATTACATATATAAATACCAATTTGACAATCCAGGAAATTTCTGACACAATATTTTATGTGGGGCACACAGCAGTGTAGTTGGTCATGGGTTTGAGTCCCAATGAGGTGGATCTGTTCAACTAACCTAATCGCCCTGGTGTTGACTCAGCCTCTAACAGAAATGAGTACCAGGTATCTTCCTGAGGGGGGGGGGGTTAAGGGCGGCCAGAGCATAAGGCTGACAAGCTTTACCGCTGTCATGGCTACAAAAGAGATGCTGGTCTAGACTCAAGTATACTTACTGAAGTGTGGGAACCAATCCAGGATCTCCTGTTACAGGTGTCTGGGGGGTAATTAAAGAATGGGGTGCCACATGTGTTGAGGGTCGAGGTACAGCATTCTGCAAATCAATAAGCACACCATCAACACATATCAATAAACACAAATCATATATCCTGCATGTATTATAGTTTTCACTGCCAGATATATATTGTATCTCACACATCACATAACAAGAAGTTCTGTAAAGAACTGACTGACCACTTTCCTCTAATGATGCATCTAACAACTGATCTGTTGTTGTATGTGTATTTGTTACTGTGGGTACCTGTTTAACAAGCCATTGCTTACCAACATTATGTGGGATACATGAACAGATTAACACACACACACACAGCAGAAGTAGCCTAACAGAAAAACTGTTAAGAGACCGTGTTTTCTCTCTGGTCAAACCTAAAGTTACATACACAGGACAACCATAGAGTTGGAAGACCCAATTATCCAGCCACTGTCTGTCTTCACAGCACCTCTCTGACAGTACTATTTTGGCTTTCAGGTGTCATGCCATGGCACATATCTGTTCATACAGTATCACGGTAGAGTAGTTGGTTGAGGCACTATGCTACAAGCCTGAAGGCCATGGATTCGATTCCCAATAAGGTCACTGAATTTCTTAATTGACCTAGTCCTTCCAGCCACAGTATGGCCCTGGGGTCGACTCAGCCTCTAACAGAAATGAGTACCAGGAATCTTCCTGGGGGTTAAAGGTGGCCAGCGCATAAGCCTGACAACCTTACCGCCATCTGCGAGCCAACTGTCTAGAAAAATGTGGGAGCCTCGATGTCTCACAACCCAATGGCCCTCCATGGTCTGGTACAGGGACAGCTTTATTTCTCTTTACAGCATTGTAATAGCTGTCTCTTCTGGCTTTCAAAAGTTATGTGGGATATACAGACAGCAAGGTGACCCCATAGGACTCCTTTTTATTTTTTCAAAACAAAGAAAGCAGGCTAATGATGATGCCTATAACCTATTAACATAATAGACTATAGTGAATTTCTGCTCACCAACTTGCAAAATGAACTTTCTTCACGCAACTGCAATTCTAAAGCCATATATCTAAGTGACTGTAAAGTTTCTTGAATACATCAACTCCTCTGGACTTTACAATAGTGTTACAGGCCATACCCACCTTAAAGTGGTTACTGTACAACACAGTTTGTACATGTATACTACAGCTTGCAATGATACAATGTTAAAGCTTTACAAATTCTATTTGAAAATCAGTTATTTAGAGGAGGACAGGCCGAAGGACACTCTTACAAATAACAATTTAGTAACTATGCTTCCATACATACATATATAACCACTATTTCTATCACATTCAGAAAAACAAAAGCTATCATCTAAAGTTAATTTCCAATAACCACTAACTACGCCAAAATAATTATTCTTCATATGTTGCCACAGGTGTTCTCTCTCAGCACGCATATGAACACTATGCTGTTTTGAAATACACTTCATTTGGAATAAACACCATAATAACTACAGACCAACATCGAGAGGTCAATATCAATCAGTAAGAATTCTGACAAACCCTGTGCCCGTTAAAAAACTCCAGCACCCGCAATGTATACTGTGGAATGTTACACTTACTGATGAAGGTGGTGGCATAACACGTGATGTTACGGTGTGCTGTGGCGAAGTAAAATGTTCGACACTCTGAACCTTACTTGATTCTATCCCCCTTTTGTCGGTTTCGGCCATTATGGATTTCACAACTTAAACACGAAATACACGCTTGTGTATTAATGCCGCTACACACACTGTAAAATACAACCCGATAGAAGTTTTCTCATAAATAAACTGTACACAAGTACGGCTACACTGCTTTTGTTCGGTCAAGCTGGTGACTCTTTAACAGCTTGTTCAACGTGTCACTCTTAACATAATACTTTCACGTCATCTTGATACGTAATTCTACAAACACACATTCAATCAATAACGTGTTAAACCTTTCATTAGTTTAAAGAACGAATCATTTTTTCACCCTCCACGCTTTTGTTCAACTGGCCATTCCCTTCTCCATCTTTTACTCAGAACTGCCAACTCACATCCCACAATTTTTATTCACGAATTCTCGAGGTTCTCTCACCAAGTACCCAGTTGACAACAGTAATCGCTCACTTCTCAAGCTCATCAACTGTCGGTAGATGAAAACCCTTTTGATATAAACAAATCGCGATTACCTGCAACCAAAGCAGATTAATAATTCTAAAAACCACACAATCTCTATCACCACGCCTCACACGAACATTCGTATCGCTTCGTGCATATTCGGCATTCAACAGCAACTGTTTACCTTTTCGTTACCAGGCTCTGAGAACGGATTACTAGATACTTAGCAGGATTCTTATATGGACGTTTGGCAAGAACGAATAGGGTCACTAAGTGAAAACTGCAACAGAATGATACAATATAATATTAGGGAGTTACTAATTTGTCGTTACGCATATGCGTAGCGGCAGCGTCAGGAAACTGACATCGAAACGGACTACGTATAAATAGAACTAAACTATGAAGAAAGCCGTCTTCTGGGATGTGGCGCCGTGAAAACCTAAAATCTTATACAGAACTAAACTACCTCGTAAGAATAAATGAAGAAAATATGAACTGAACCCTTATAAGCAAAAAATTTTCCCCCTTAAAAACAAATGTTACTTGTTTGGCAGTCGTGAATTCGCCTTTGTCATAACTAGGGACCGGATTTTAATGCAAATGCATATTTCTTTCTTGCAACCTGAAAGTATGCTCGTTTGGATATATGTATGAATTACTTCATTTCTTAAATTTTGGACATGGTTTGATGGTGCATATAAATGCATATTTTGTCTGTTTTATGAATAAGCATCATATTTTCGAAGATCTCTATTTATACTGCATATTTCCTTTCTAAACTGTTTATCATATATATTGTGACGTGGATGACGCAACGGGAAGTGGGGGGCCACGTGAACTCTGCGTCTCGCGAGTGACGTCACATAACCCAACTCCTTCCATCGCTAGGCAACGCTCGGTGAACATCCCCTCCCCGCGGTGTTTCTTCATGCTGTGCCGACTAGAGCCGAAGCACACTGGTTACTACACACCAGTAAACAACTCTCGACAGCGTTGCCCAGCAACACCTGTAAACAAGGCGACTAGGCAAGAGGGAAGCGAGGCGTTTCCGTTGTCTGGCTGAGGGGTTATAAGAGAACTACACTGCCTAAGAAGACAGTTGAATTTTAACAGTCGCCCAGTTCAGTTGCAGCGAGCGAATCGTGAACGCGGAAAGAAGAATACCGGAACGCGTGATTAGAAATGATAGTGTGAGAAGGCATCGGGAGTCTTCAGTGGCAAAACACGTTACACTAATCTAAGGGCATGGACAAGAAGCCACAACGACGTAGTCGTAGCAGGGAAAAGGAAAGAGAGCGTCGTGAGAGACTACAGCGGTCTCGCAGTCACTCTAAAGAGAAAGACCACGGAAAGAAGAAAGTTAAAGACCATGGAAAGAAGAAAGTTAAGAAATTGAAAGAACAGTTTCGCAGCAGAAGCCGAGAGCGAGACAGGCATCGGCACAGGGACCGAAAACGCACCCCTATCCCACCTAGCATCATGAAGGAGGAGGAACCCAAGAAGGAACCATTATCACTCGAAGAGCTGCTTGCCAGGAAACAGGCTGAAGAGGCCGCTCGCAGCAAGCCCAAATTTCTGACAAAGGAGGAACGTGCAGCTGAGGCTTTGATAAAACGGAAACAAGAGGAAGAAGAGATACGACGTAAGATGGAAGAAGAAAAGAAAAGGCGGGCTGAATTTGACAAGGAGGCCAAAAAGGCATCTGATGATATGCGCAAGGCAGACAAAGATCTGGATCGGGACAAAGACGGCTTTAGGAGGTGGGACAGAGAGCGTGAAAATAAGGACAAGGAGGAGGACAGCCAGTACTCAAAGGACAAGCAGAAGGAAGTGGAGGTCATAAGAGAGTGTTATCTAAGACCAGTCGAGAAGATACGCCGTGTGCGTCGGCCCAATGACCGCAAGTTTGTGTTTGACTGGGATGCTTCAGAGGACACATCTATCGACTATAATCCCCTCTACAAGGAACGGCATCAGATTCAGTTCTTCGGTCGAGGTAATGTTGCGGGTATTGACATCAAGACCCAGAAACGAGATCAGTCCAAGTTCTATGGAGAGTTGCTGGAGCGACGACGAACTGAGGCTCAGAAGGAGCAGGAGAAGGTGCGCCTAAAGAAGCTCAAGAAGAAAGAGGAGAAACAGAAGTGGGATGACCGTCACTGGTCTGAGAAGTCTAAGGATGAGATGACGGAGAGAGACTGGCGAATATTTCGAGAGGAATACAATATCACCATCAAGGGTGACCAAATCCCTGATCCAATCAGGACCTGGAAGCAGTCTGGAATTCCTAATGAGATTCTGGAGATTGTTGAGAAAGTTGGCTATACTGATCCCACTCCTATCCAGCGACAGGCCATTCCCATTGGCCTGCAGAATCGAGATATCATTGGTGTGGCAGAAACAGGTTCTGGTAAGACACTGGCCTTCCTGATTCCTCTGCTGACGTGGATACAGTCTCTGCCCAAGATTGAACGTATTGAAGATGCTGACCAGGGTCCATACTCCATAATCTTGGCACCCACTCGAGAACTGGCTCAGCAGATTGAGGAGGAGACTAACAAGTTTGGACAACCACTTGGAATCAGGACAGTGGTTGTGGTGGGCGGATTGTCCAGGGAGGAGCAGGGCTTCCGCCTCAGGATGGGATGTGAGATTGTGATAGCAACACCCGGTCGTCTGATTGATGTGCTTGAGAACAGGTACCTGGTACTAAACCAGTGTACCTATATTGTACTAGATGAGGCTGATCGTATGATCGACATGGGTTTTGAACCAGATGTGCAGAAAATCCTACACTACATGCCAGTCACAAATCTGAAGCCAGACACTGAGGATGCAGAAAATGAGATTAAACTGCTGGCCAATTACAACTCAAAGAAAAAGTACAGACAGACAGTCATGTTTACTGCCACAATGCCCCCAGAAGTGGAGCGTCTGGCTCGTACATACTTGCGTCGCCCAGCCGTTCTCTATACTGGGTCTGCTGGCAAGCCAACAGAACGAGTAGAGCAGATGGTGTACATCCTGTCGGAGGCAGACAAGAGCCGCAAGTTGCTGGAGATCCTTGAACGTGGTGTCACACCTCCAGTCATTATCTTCGTAAATCAGCAGAAAGGGGCAGATGTGTTGGCAAGGGGGTTAGAGGAACATGGTTACAATGCCTGCACACTGCATGGTGGCAAGGGCCAAGAACAACGAGAATACGCACTAGCAAGCCTCAAGTCGGGCACCAAAGACATCCTTGTGGCCACCAACGTGGCCGGTCGAGGTATTGATATCAAGGACGTATCCATGGTCATCAACTATGACATGGCTAAGAGCATAGGAGAGTATACCCATCGTATCGGTCGAACGGGTCGTGCAGGAAAACATGGTATGGCAGTCTCATTCTGCACCAAGGATGACTCTGAACTGTTCTATGACTTGAAGCATACGATACTGTCTAGTCCAGTGTCGACATGCCCTCCTGAACTACTGAACCATCCAGATGCTCAGCACAAGCCCGGCACTGTCGTAACAAAGAAACGTCGGGAAGAGAAAATATTTGCATAAAGAGACCAGGGTGAAACCACCTGAGGAAGCAACATTTATATGAACTTTCATACAGAATCACGAAAAGTTAAACAGTTCTGTCTAGTATGACTGCTGAAGATTTTTCCTATTTCAATTATTTATGCCCTTACATGTTTCGATCTTATACAGTTAGAAGCCATTATTACAATACATGTTCTAAAAGTTAAAATGTATACATACAATATTAATAATATACACTTAAGTATAAAATCTAAAGTCTTTACAACTACAGTGGCTGTTCCAATACATTAAAGTATTTATAATTGGTTTGTTAAGACACTATTAAAATTCGTAAACTACGCAGGTTCGTGTCGTGCCTCTTGTTATTTCTTTTGACGGGGGCGAATGTGTGCCGCCTTGTTCCGAGAAGAGGGTTCTTTGATGTAGTCCTGTATGTTTGTGGCGCGCTTAACTTCGCCGACAAGCGGCGGTGGCTCCATCGCTATAGTTCGCTTGCGGACTAAAGCCACGGAGTTTTTAAACTTTTGAATAACGACAAACGATTAGACAATATTTCTGCAGGATAAGCACTCAAGGGTATTATCTTATGGAATATGACGCCGTACAAGCAGGTTGAAGTTTATCTGCTTTCGGTAGAAGCGTACTGCCTCCATTTTCAGGATTGAAAAATAAGTCAATTATGCAACCACCAGGCAAGAGATTTCATCGGTCTGTCAGCCAAAAATCACTCCAATTGGTAGGAAAATTGCTTCCCACTACGCAACATTTCCCATCTGTCTACACTTACGTATTGACTGCACTGCCACAAGAACGTCCATCCTATCACGTCTACACTACAGTCCTGGTGATTAAAACACGACGGCATCCACTGATAGTAAATAACAAAACAACGTGTACTCTCGTCAGCGTCATTTCACAGTTTCCCTTGATTTATGCGAAGCCCTTTTAGCGGCAGATATTCCGCTGTGGAAACTAACCAATGCTACTCTGAGATACTTCATAGAGAAGTATACACAGTGCGAAGTGCCGGATGAATCTACTGTGCGCAGAAATTACGTGAAGCAGTGTTATGATCTTACAATTGAAAGCATTAGAGATAAGATTCAAGATAATTTTGTGTGGCAACATTGTGAGGGACGGTTTATAGCAAATTGTATAGTTGGATCCCTTAATAAGAATGAACAATCTACCCCATATCTTCTTGCGGTAGAGCAATTTGAAACCACAAATAGCTCCGCAGTTTCCGAATTTTTTATCAATTCCATGAATTTACTATGGCCGAATGGCATTCAGTATGAGCGCGTATTGCTCTTTGTGACTGGTGCCACAAGTTATATGATGAAAGCCGTACTGCTCTTAAAGTTATATTTCCAAATATGACACATTTGACTTGCCTTGCCCATGGGTTGCAGCATGTTGCAGAAACAATTCGTGCAAGTTTTCCGCTTGTTGACAAGTTGGTGTCTTCTGTGAAGAAGGTATTTGTTAAAGCGCCATACAGAAAACAAGCCTTTAAAGCAGTAGCACCGAGCGTTCCACTCCCGCCAGAAGCAATTTTAACGCGCTGGGGCACGTGGCTGTGTGCAGCGAGTTATTATACCGAACATTTAGAAACAGTTAGGAATGTCGTGAATACATTTGATCCCAAAAGTGCAGCATCAATTCAAATTGCCCAAGTTGTACTAAGAAAAACGCAGAACTAGAAACTAATCCTTCCCATATATCCGCTCACTTCTCTCATCTTCCATCCGCCATTTCCTCACTGGAGGCAAGTAACAGCAATACTACATTGTATCAGCCGTTAAGTGTCTTCAAAACCACTGTATCCAAATTGAATTCGGTTCCTGGAAGAGCTGGTGAAGTAGTAAAGGAAAAAGTACACAGCATTCTTTCAAAAAATCCAGGATATGAACAAATTTGTGAAATTGAGGAAATTTTGGCCGGTAAACGTACTGAACTGCCAAGTAAAAAATCACTAACAGTGGAGCAAATAGCGGCTTTTGTACATGCGCCCCTAAGTTCCTGTGAGGTGGAAAGAAGGACATCTTACGAGACAACAGGGGGCGACTTACTATGGAAAGCCTAAAACATTTAGTAATTGTGAACTGCAGCAGAAGAGAGGTCGGAAGTTCGGAGAGCAAAATATGAGTACCATTGGTTTTTTTAAATTTGTAATGAAATATGTTGGCTTTGTTGCATGATTTGTATTTAAGTATAGCTTTTTATTGCAAGTGAATAATTCAGTGATTACGTAAAATGAACTTAAATATTGATCTGCTAGTCTTTAAATAATGTAAAATCAATTTTAATATTTGATATAACATTTTATGTGCACATTTTAGTGCATATTTCGGAAGTTTTTCATGCATAAATGCATACATATTTAAGGGATTATTAGGGCATAAAAATCCGGTCCCTAGTCCCAATATCTGCGTTCCGTACTTCTCGGTATTCCTTTTCCCTTCTTTGCCTCGTTGCATACGCCAGAAACAGTCAACGGCCTTCGTAACACGCGTCGACGGTCGGGTTCTCACATTTATAGAAATCCAGCCTAGTTCGATTTTCTCCAAACACACATTTCTTAAAGAAATTAAGAACTGTTTTGCAAAAATTACTACCATAACCATTACCACTTGTACTCGGCTTGCTACAAAGCAACATGTATTCAGACATTCTGAATCAGAAAATGGGCCTTCTCGATACTACAAAAGAAACTCCGTGGCTTTAGTACGCAAGCGAACTATACCGACCGAGCGACACCCGCTTGCCGGAAAAGGTAGTTGGCTTTCTCAATACTATGCTTTATTAAATACAAAATCAATCTTGGCTTGCATCCTGAGTATACTGTTCAAAGAGAAGTATCAAAACTGCCACCGTCTCGGATTATATGAACATTTTTAAAATCCTTAAAATGATAATCGCTTGGGCTTAGAAATGTGGGACTTGCTCCTAAGCATTAAGAAAAAAAGTCGCCCTTCCCTTAAGTACATGTTTAATCTCAGCTCAGAAAAAAATTTGCGCGAGCGCACATATTTCGATACTTACAGCAGAAGGGGCCTTCAAATGAGTAACACAGCATGTTTCTTACGGGCTATACGTTATCAACGACCACCCAACCCAATCAAGCGACATGAATCCTGGTATGAATACACAACTCAATGTTGAATTCTGTACTGCACTCATAAGCAAAGCATATTTTTGGTGGTCCCAAATTATACAGGAAGAACCAATGCAACGCAAGAAATACGATATAATCTAAATATTCAAATAACATGGTTTATGGGCCAAACATAATTTCACACATGAAACAGGAGTATAAAATCAAGTTTCACGATATAAAATCAAGATACAAACTTACCATCCATACAATATCATTACTAGTAACATTTTTGTAATAATCCGGTTGCACTGTTCTTTCATGTAAGCGACTATGCGACCTCTTTCATTAAGAATTAGAACTGTTATGCGAATACTTCAAATAACTCCGTATCCCTCCGTCAGAGATCGCGACAAGCTTCCCTTCCTACCTAAATGTTATTAACCTGCAAGTCAGCTGATAAAAGTAGTTGCTCTGTATTCATAACAGCAAGAACAACCCTCTGTGCAGCACTGCAAACGACACAACGGCCCATACATCCATAAAGGTACACAAACATTTCACAACACTGTTATAAATCCATCTTGTTGGCTACGTATGTATTTTGCATTACATACTTTTAGGATATGATACTTAAATACTTTCAGTATGTCAACGACAAAGTGCATGGTAGGAGCACTTGAAGTTTTCCCATCACAGTATTCTTATAATTAACGAAACTGTCTGTTTCAGAAAAACCTGCCCCGAAGGTATCTAACTGTACCTACTTGCCTATATACATCATTTATTAATTATGTGCAATTTCTCTTCGATATCACTTCTACTGATTTCTGTTGGATACATATATATTTGCAGGTAAGAACATACGCATAAGGGGATATCTGAAAATTAAACTTCACATGATTATGGCATAAAATCAAACTGTTTTGGAACAGATGTTTAAGTTTTTTTTTTCTTTTGTGTGGCATACGGTTACCTTTAATGAAATATTTACAATTTCAGTTCCTATGTTATTAAATTAAAAATAATTAATCAAAGTAAAAGTTCTTAAGTATTGGTAAAGCATATATATGGTGACCCTACATTTGGGCACACTGTTTTAAGTGAAGACTGTACTTTAGTTAAAGAACTGCTAATTTCTGAGAATAAACTTTTTTCATATCATTCATGAACAAGAACGCAAGAATACATAGTGTATATATAACAGGCGTGTTTGGTAGAAGGAATTATACATGAGAAGTCAATGTCCCTTCATCTTCAAATTTCTTATAAGAAATTAAAATGAAGCTATCCTGTGTAATGCTGGAAGTGCCTTATTTTACATCATTGGGATAATTAAGATGAACTCTTCTGCTATAATAAACAAACAAATTCACACAGAACTATTCACTGTTAGCTCATATTCAAACTGGCATAAGTCAATACTATATAATTTGCTAAATGACATGACATGCATGAAAAGAAAATTAAATTTTAATAAATAAATAAACATATATATATATATATATATATACAGGGTGTCCCAGGGGGAATGTGCCAAACTTCGAGAGGATGTTCCTTATGTTAAAGTATGCTGATATAACCCAAAACACCTATGTCCAAAGTTGAAC